CGTACAATCTACTTCTTCGGGCTCAGGTTTGATCAGCATGTCTTCCACCTCGATCTTCACTCGTGGCGGTGGCGGCGGCGGCGGCGTCTCCTCCGAATCCTCCTCGACCTGCCCCCTCGTCTCTACTCCCTGCCCCCTCGTCTCCTTCGTCTCCCGCGCTCCGGGCCTCGTCGTCTCCTCTTCCTCCTCCTCCTCCTCCTCTGCTTTCTCCCGCTGTTCCTCCTCTTCCTCGCGTTCCGTGGCGATGTCCTCTACGTCCCGATTCGCCGACGTCACTTCCTGTTTGTCTGTCGCCGTTTCCTGCGGCGGTTTTGTCGATTTGTTGTTGGCCCTCCTCTTCTGGCCCCGTCTCTGCGGAAAGAAGAAAAACAAGATTAGAAATTAGAAAAAAAACGAAAAGTGACGTTCGTTCTCTCTTCTATTGTTTTTACAAGAACTTGACTTTACACAGGAAACGTCAGCCACTGATCTCTGATTTTGTAAAATACGTTTCCCCCAAAAAGTCCAACTTATTTATGTTTTTTTTCTTCTTTATTATGCATTTTTTGGCTGGTGCAACTTGGACTACGTTCACACTGCAGCCCGAAGTGACTCAAATCCGATTTTTTGGCCTCTATGTTCCTGTATCTGAACGACACAGATCAAATTTTTTCAAATGTGACCCAGGACACTTGGATCTGTGCTCCTGAAACTGATACATATCTGATCTTTTGACATGTGACTTCAGTGTGAACGGCCAAAGTGCATTCATCCACCTACACGTTATCAACAAGACACAAACGTACACAAACGTTCTTCTCGTCAAACAAAAATATGATATATCGCCAATATAATCGCAGATATATTTAGTGATGTAAAAATTCACTGTAAATCTTGAATTGTTTAAAAAAATTTGGTTTGGCTCCGGTGGATTTTAAATTGGGTTTATTTAGGCAACATTTATTGTTATTCTGCCTCTTTAAGTCATATTTACAGACAGTAGGTCGGACTAATGGCATTTTTGCATCACATTCTAGACAGCTAGTGATGGGGATTCCAGTTCTTTTTAGAGAACCGGCTCTTTTGGCTCGGCTCACTAAAAGCAGCCGGCTCTTTCGGCTCCCAAGAGACTCTTCAGATTGTTTTGTTGCAAGCAGGAATAAACCAGAACTGAACCAGGTCTAAACCAGATCTAAACCAGGACTAAAACAGATCTAAACCATGTGTAAAACAGGACTAAACCAGAACTGAACCAGGACTGAATGTCAGGACTCTGTCTCTATTTCTTTCCCTCTCTCGAGCCCAAGATTAGTCCTGGTTTATTTATTTCATGCTGAAGATATTTATGCACGTTTTTTCTCTCCAATACACACGCAGATTTCTGAAAGTTTCGTTTTGAGCCGCTGCCGCTGTCAGACTACCACGAGTCTGCACGCGACATGAAGAGAAAAAAAAGGGAGAGAAAGAGAAAACACGGCTCCCAATAAGGTGCAGGCTCCCGTCGTTTGCGACCGACCATCACTGTTAGCGAGTAAATAAACAATCACTATTAGCCTTTAGCCGTGAATGCTGCGCACCGCGGTAATTAATTATATGCACAAATGTCATAATTCACACGTCTATTCACAGCTCATTTACATATCAATCCATGTCCAGTAACAAATATACAGACAATATATTCACTTTACAACAGGCCAATAGAAAACAGTCTGTTTATGTGTGGGAGCTACAGCAGCTAATCGCTAACAAAACTAGCTTCAAAGTCGATGTATTTCCAACACTCAGCCTCACACAGGCTCCTCCCACATCACAAGTCTGCACTAATAAATGTCCTTTTAATTCAGACTCAAACTGATTGTCCGTAAAAAGAAAATAATCTCAGTGTTGTGCACGGCTGCGGGTGTAAACAAACACACGTGAGAAACGTCACTCTGGGGGTGTGTTCAGGGACAGTACGAACACACACATAAACAAATACTGATGCGGAGCCACATATTAGGATATTTATCTGATAATATCGGCCAACCGCTATATTGATCAGGCTCTAGTCTGCACATCCACATGTTCCTTTCAACGGACGTCGCTGCCGCTGTCCCACAAAACACCAAAAACCTCGTCCTTCTCCTTCTCAATCTCCTCCTTAAAACAAGTAAGTTGTTCATGTTCTGGCTCCAGGTACGAGAGGAACTTTAAAATCTCCAGGTGCTCGATGCTGCGTCCATGTTTGGACAACTTCTGTAAACACAGAGACGCTCACTGTGGTTGACGTCGTCGTGTCTCCAGTGTCACATGTGGGACACTTTCGGGCCGTTTACTGTTCACACTGGAGACACATACAAGTCACATTTAACTGGAAATGTGAACGACCTCACAAAAACTAGGGCTGGGTATCATTAAGAAGTTGCCGATACGATACATACCTCGATACATAGGCCAGAATACGATACATATCTCAATACAGCTTTCGATTCGATATGAATTATATTTCAAATCAAATTGATACAGTTCAATAAAAAATAAAGTCTAAATCATGGCTGTGAGACCAAAAGTCTTTGTTAAACCACTTCTTGTGCAAAGTTCATGTGAAACATCCATTTTAATCATTAAAACAGTGAAAATGTCAAATGTGTCGCATAAACGAGTTTCCTTCCTCTGAACAAGCAACAAAACTGTAGCTGTAACAAAATAATGTAGTAAGATACACCAAAAAATACTCTTTGTGATATATCGATACAGCAGCTCACGATATCGATACTGTATCATTACATTAAACAATACGATATATCGATATTTCAATATTTTTGCACACCCCTAGCAAAAACATCGGATTTCACAAAACAAAAATCCAAATTGAGCATTAAGCCCTGCACTCTGAATGTAACTTATAGTCCGGAGAAACTTATAGTTTGAAAAATACAGTAATCATAAAGCGTTTTACTGTCCCATGATCAGGAAGTGTGCGTTTGCTTGCTGGTTGTTAGCTTTTACTCCGCTCTGCTCTCTGAGAGTTGTGAAAAGAGCTCAAAAACTCATCGTGGTGAATAATTACTACGCTCTGGATGCTAACGGTAAGTGAGGATGAACTGTTTTAAATGAATTAGTTTGGTTTTTATACATTTTTTTAAGACAGTAAAACTCAGATGCAGCGTCTTTAATGCAACTTTTACGATTCACAAAACAAAAACTGACTTTACAAAATACAAAAACACAGATACTGGATGTTTATTTTAGCCTGACAGATGTGAAAGATGAGTGATGGTGGAAAGGCAAAAGCAACAGATTCCCAGGGTTTAAAATAGAGAAGTTTTTAAAAAGTCTTCCTCTTCAGAAAAAAGAACTACCACCCAAATAAGGACCAAGAAAAGCTCCAGAAAATATCGAAATACCACTGTTACTGGCAACGCGAACAAAGGGCACACTCAGCTTTTATCAAGTTGTAGGTTTTTTTTTTCATTTAAGTGAGCATGAAACAACACGGAGGAACACGACGGCACTACGAAGATCTCCTGAGACAAAATTGTAAAAAGTTCGTGCACGAAAGAGAAAAACGATCTGGTGAGGACAAAAAAGGTCACGTGTTGGTGAGTTACGTCTCTTGCAGTTCCAAAAAGCAGCACTGGAACGGAAACTAAACTATGAAATTAAATAAATAACAAAATCGTGAGGCCAAAATTGTGAAACTGAAATGAACTTGGAAATGTAAACATTAGGAATTCCGTTAAAATCTCGTCTTGTCCCCCTTCCTCGAGATCTGGAGGATGATGAAAATATAGGGAATAACACTTTTTTTCCCTCTTTTTTTCTCTTCTTATCCCGTCTCTCCTTTCCTCTTTATGAGCTCCTTTCGCGTCCCCATTTCCCTTTTTATTACTATAATTTTTAATTAATATTAGTATTATAATATTATTAATATATATATATATAAAATCTCCACTGAATATTTATTTAATGTATCTATTATTAATACTAATACTTCTATCAGTTTTATTTACTTAATCATCATCATCATTAAATTATTATTCTTATTTACATTTTTTTATTTTTAAATGTATTTGTATTTGTATATTTATTAAATTTATCTATTATTACTACTATAAACTTTATTTAATAATAAAAAAATAATATTATTATTATTATTATTATTATACAAACTTTATTTACTTTTTCATAATATTTTTTATTATTAATTTTTTATTTAAATTAAATAAATATACAATTTATCTATTATTAATACTATTACAATTATCAAATTTACTTACTTAATCTTTTTTTATTAAATTAAATACACACAAAAAAAATTTAAAAAGTAAATTATTATTATTATTACAATCAGCTTTATTTACTTATTATTATTATAATTTTTAATTATTTTTTTTAACCCTGTATATCTATTGAATTTATTTATTATTACTACTATCAACTTTTATTAACTTTTATTATTATTACTAATATATATATATAATATATATATATATATATATATATATATATATATATATATATTATATATTTATTTATTTTATTATTAACATTTTTATTATTATTATTTTGGGATGTTTGGCCAGGGGGTTTGGGGGTGATTGATGTTCAGATGTGTCCTCCTGTGTTACTGTGTCATTCATGTAACAGCTCTGTTCAATACAATACACTCTGTCTGTTTATATTCAAAATGTTCAATAAACAAAGTTGACAAAATTAAATCTCGTGGACCCAATGTACCCGGTCTCATCTCGTGGACATTTTCTCTGGCCTCGTCTCTAGTTGTCGAGGACGTTTTGGTGTAAAAGCAGAAGTGACGTCGTCGTGATCGATAACACCGACATATTAATCCAGCAGATAAGATTAAAACTGTTTCCTCAATGACAGAAATGACAGGAAGTCATAAAGCTTCAGTTCACATCTCCCTCCGCCCACACACACCAAACTCTGTGGCTTTGTGCTACGGAATGTTCCACAGTACAGCATTAAACCTTTCTATTTTCATGGAGACCAAACCGGACTAAGTTCCAGGTCAGATCTGTGGAGAGTCACAGACAGAATGTTTGTTTTTCGAGGTATTTCTGAGTTCTAAAACCACGTGATTGAATAAATGTAAAGCAGAGCTGTTTAAAGTCACACTGTGGAACATTCCGGGCAGAGAAATGACATATCCATAGAAACAAGCAGTTGACGGACGCCCAATCAGAAAGTTACGTCAAATCTATCTTAATTTGAAAGTTAACTTGAGGTTAGATGGTCGTAAACTTCCTGTGTCTGTCGGGGGGGCGGAGCCTCAATCATGTGACCACAGAACTACTGTTGCTATGACGACCGGCTGACCCGACCCATTTAACTTTGAATGAGAAAAACAAGTCTACGAAGACAAATAAAGT